AACCAATGAAAATGTACTTACACGACAGTTGCTTATTGGTTTCTGAATTATTTGCGCATCCTCTCCTTCCGATGTTGCAGCAAACAATTAGGTCAGACATCTGAAGATCAGTAAGTGTCCACTGTAAACCTTCATATTACAGACGAATAATTTAGTCAGAAATGATGAGGCTGAGTTCAGCAATCTACAGTGCCGAAATTTCAATTACGTGAATTAATTCCATCTCATTTGCGAGACCATGACAACCCTGAAATGCAGTTAAATTCGTCATTTATTTAAAAAATAATTCCAATAATTATTAACTTTGGAATTTCATTAACCTTTGACTACGTTTTCGAGAGCTTTTGCGCCAAAAGTTCTTTGTAAAGTAAGCCGTTTTGCCTAAGTTTGATGAATTGCCACCCTTAAGTTTACGCTGTCGGCATTGTTAGAAATTTTGAGGAACAAGTTTTAATGGAAGTACAGGGTAAATATTGCTTACTTGAACGGTTGCTTGTTATTCTTTTGTTACATAAACTAAGAACCACATGGTTTTCCTGAGAAAATTATAATTTTCGATGCTTCTTTGTAATTACCGTTCAATTAGACTCAGATTTCGGTGGAATAAAGTGGGTGCATGTGGCCGGACACAGGATGGACCCACTAGACGGAGTAGTGGCATACGCTTTATGTGACCAGACTCTACAAAGGGATAATTTGTGCTCAACAATTTTGACAAGTTCAGGTAAGTAGGTCCAGCGCGATACCTCGAATGTTTAGCCTTTGGCAAACACTCAGACCGCGGAGTGGGTGGCTGTTTCGGGTTGCTGAAGCACAACAGCACATTGTTTACAAATTAGTAGAACAATATACAAACTGATAATCACGCGAAATCGCCTGAAGGGCACGTTGTCTGACCAGTTTATGGAAATTCAAACTAAAAACTACAAGCCATTACTGAGGTTTTATTTCAAAAGTATCTCTGTAAGTTAAATTTGTAGGATAGCAAGTTTAGGAATATTTATCGGCGCCACCACAGAGCTCGCTGCTGATTTCAAACCCACAATAAATGTTGCCTTCGCGTGACTTGTATTTCAGCAATGCAATATGATTTGACTTATTGTTCGCCCTTGAAATGCTGCAACATTTTACAATTTTCGAAGCCTAACGATTTTGCCGAATTTCACGGTAAACTCAAGAATATAATTGTGCATTTAATCTACACATCAGAACACACATATTTGGAAAATCGAATAAGTCAACATATATTGACCTATGCATTTGCTTCAGTTGTATTCATGGTTGTTCCTAAAATCTGGTTATTACATGTTTAACAAAGGGAAATTGCTTGTCCCCTTTCGAGATCTGGCCAACATTTCCTGCTTAAAGAATTTTGCGAGTTCACCAAGACACTAACATCAATGGTTGGTTTCAGCTGAAGGCACCTACACCATTTCTGCTCGGCTTTTAGCCAATTTAATGCATGCGAGTTAAGTAACCCCTCATTGAAGAGTCGTTACTCTTTTGGCTGGAATGAAAATTGCTTTAAAATGATTTTGAACTGATAAATCCAGAATTGTCAGGGTAGCATTTCACTGATCTGATGAATACTCCGGCATATTTTGGGCTACTGGAAAAAACCGCAGACAATTAAGTGTCTTTGAAAATTAAATCTAACACCCCAAATTAACATTGGCTTCAAATTTTAAAAATTAAATTCTAATCAACATCAATTGAAATTGCATACTTTAGTTCCTTGGGTTTAGCTAATTTTGGGAATCCAAATTGTTCTAATAAACAAGTTCTTTACAATTTTGCGTTTATTATCAGCATTGTTAGCCTCCCTGTCCCCAAAAAATGCCATGATTAGTGACAGAATAATTAAAATTAAATGCAGTTTACTGAGGCATTAAGACTTATTTGGTCTGAGCACTAGCAACCGCCAGATAAAATCCTGGAAATGACAGTTTAAGGTAAGGGTAATTTGTACAACAATTAGATCAGCAAAAAGAAAATAAAACATTGAAAGATTTACGGATTTATACGATGGATTCACTTTTGATTTCGTCGAGATAAGTTACCTTTTTAAAACCATCATCGGGGACGAAAAGAAAAATCCAAATGAGGCGATTTAAACTTATTCAATTTTTAAAAATTGCCATAGGTTTTGATCTTACACAATTCAGTTTACACCAAGTCCTAATGAAATAAACTAAGGATAATTAATGGGAAAACAATCACTAAAAAGTTAGTTAATATAGCATTTTTATAAATCAATGCAAACGCAGCAACTCAGGTATACATGTTCACTTTTTCCAGGACAAAATTACATCCATAATGTAAAAAAAAGAAAAACAAAAAATTAACTTTTCACGCACTGTTCACATTACATTTCCATTTAGCAATTGATCATGTTTAATAGAAATAAAGCGAAATCTTGCCTCCGAACCTAGTTTTGGTCCCCATTAAAAAAATGAATTACCCGAGTGGACGTTTAATCGTGGTTCGATGAGGTAAAAAAATTGTGCAGTTGCATTGCTTTTGTCTGATTGCAGATAAAAATGCAAGAGAGTTTTAGAAAAAAAACTGAAATGGCTTTTAATTGAAAAAAGGACGTAAATTGCATTTAATATAGTAGAACAGAAGCATTTACCCTAGTTTCCCGAAAACAATAGTTTAGTCTTCTCAAAAAACCAATATGATGCGAGTTTGCAGTGTAGTTTTCAATTTCTCTTGCATTAAGTAATGTTTCCTACCTACCTGCTGACTTCTTCAACATCTTACATTAATTTTTTATTGTAATGAATAAATAAATGAGGTACTCATTGATGGATATCGACAATCTATTAATTTTAGCTGGTACTTGCTGATTAAAACTCCAAAAAGGACGTAGGTGCGTATGCATTCTTTGCAATTTTGTTCTCGTCTTAATTTCGTTTTTGGAGCACACAGTATTTAATGGCCTAATAATCCGTTCAAAATGACTACAATTATTGTCATATCACCTGCTAATCAATGTTGTTTCAAATATGGGAGTGGTTAATGAAAAAATTTACCAGGCAACAAAATATGTCAACTTTGCTGCCCTGCACATCTTAGTGTAGTGGGTCCCGGTGCGGTTTTAGAAACCACACCAGGGCCGACAATCTAAGTTGACACGGCCCGACCGAAAGTACAGCAGAACTGCAGATAGCCAGTAGCTCAACCAATTTATTAAAGCAGTAGCGGGGTGTGTTGTGAACAGGATAGCAGATGCGTTTATATAGCTTTGCTAGGCATTGACCTCTAAACGCAGCTAATTGCGTGGAGTTCATCCCCGAATAATCGAATGAACTGTGTTCGCTTGTGCTTGCACACTGCGTTCGCTCACGATTGATAACTACTCGCCACATTAGTAACCATAGACTTCGACTGCACATTGGAAGTCGAAAAAGGAAGGAAAAAGAGGGTTTCGTCTTCCACATGATGGTTTCTCTATTTTCAACTTAATAAAAAGAAACCTGATATACTAAACCCAACGTTATAATTCCTAATTAAGACTGTTAATGACAGCCTCCTTTAGAAGAATTTGTGGAATAAAATATTAGATCTAAGCAGAGATTTTAAATTTAAATATCATTATTTACATGTACTATCCATCATGGTTAGGTAGTGGTGTTTTGCTTGGTACAACTTAAGTGTATTTATAAAAAGACAGAAGCCAAAAATACGTTATTATCGAAAATATTTCGCAGGTTACAGGGGACAATAAGCAAACCGCATAGATCCACTTAAATCAAGCTTTTCATCGCCTACACGGAAACTCGACTTGACACTTTAGTGTCCTTTCACTTCAAATGAGAACAACTCGGATCAAGAACTCCGTGAACATTGCCTTTCTGACACTATCAGCCGAGCAAGTTTTCAGAAAATTAAGATAAAGATCTGTCCGTAAAAACATCGGATGTATCATTAAAATAGCAAAAAATCAAAAAACGCATTAAAAAAATTTAAGCTGCAAAAGTCTTTTATAGTATCCTCAAAATTATT